CAGCATCTGATGCCATAGTGGTGTCCGATTTGGGTTCTGCCATGGTGCTGATAGTGTACCTAATTGAATAGTTCCCCCAGAGCTTCGATGAGAATGGCATGTTCATTCGGAACGACGAGTTGGGAACCGGCTGGAAAAAGGCTCATGTGATGGGATCAGCGTGGGATTGCCCGGCGAGATTGTAAATACTCGCGAAGGGCTGTGGGGTCTCGGGAGAGTGTGGGTCCCAGAGGTACACGAGGAAGAGTTTCAAGACAGGGAGGTTGGTCTCTTTGTTCTTTCAGCGCACGCAATTTCGACAACGGTACGGGTAAATCGACAACGGAAAGAATGTGCAGGGAGTCTTGAATATACTCGCAGCACCACTCGACTGCACGTCTTGTTTATTCGCCGAGTATGCATCAAGTTACTTGATCGGAATGATGAATTATTGCGAACGTTATCTCGGGGAGGCAGCCACGCCGCCGTATCGCGAGGAGCATTTTAGCATTTTTTCGAGAAAACTGCCCTGCAACTGGTAGCATTGTAAATCAGGTTCATTGACATGGCTCGAGTCTAGACTTTTCAATCATACAATGTGGGAGCGTGCTGGAATTCATAATACTCGAACGATTGGGGTTGGAACACGTTCTCGAATCCAAAGCAGTACGATCAACGGCCGAGAGCGAGTGAAACGGCCCCCACGTCCGCTTATATCCTCAAGCGAGGCTCCGTCTCACACGTAGAATACTTCGATCGACAATCGATAAGCTGCCTCAGCTTACGCGCATCCTGTACATGGAAAGCATCTGGTTTCCGACCATGCAATCGGAGTTCCATCGCGGAGGGTCTCGCACCCCTACGGCGGAAGGCGCTGCGTTCTCTCCTGTTTCCCGGGAGCCTGAACTCGGTGAGACCTCAGCCACGATCAAACTCCGCAACGATCGCGGATGAGTTCGATTTTTTCGCTCCTATCCCCCGCAGGCCTCTCCTCAAGAGCCTCCGGGAAATATAGTACTCGGCTCGAGCGGCAAATTTTGGACAGCAATGGTGAGCCTTTGGGCATTTGGAGTAAAACCTACATACACCGATCTAGGAGGGCTCCCCCCGGGGTTTTCATTTGGGGGTGGCCGCCGGATTTGCGGAATCGAAGAAGCGCTCCTCCTAATGGGACGGAACCAATGTGCACAAGGCACAGGTGTGAGTGATGTACGAGTCGCTCCAATTCCACGATTCGTCGGTCAAGGCATCCCTCGTGAGTGCAGGCGGCCGAAGGCCGTTGACCGAGGGGCTTGATTAGTCGGGACAATGATTTCACTGTTTGTATGAGAGGGGCGGGATCTGAATCGACCGAAAACGAACAAGCCTTCGTTTTTTCTGCCTCAGTGAATCTTTTCAGACAACTCAGACCAGGACGAGTTCGATGCTCGCTCTCACAACTCTCACGCAGTGTTGTTCCTCGCATTCGTCCTTGACCCTGCCGCTGGAGCGTGGAGTGAACGTCCCCTGACCGGCGGGCTCGCTTACTCGCACTACTTCTGCAGAGCCGCATGAATAGAAATCGACAAAGCTAGGTAATTTAAGGATCGGATCCGCAGTGAGCCGATCGAGTTGATGAGCCAGCCTGTATCGCTTTTTTCCGAGCCCCGCAACCTGGGGGAGCAGATGAAGGGTCGGGAGTTTGTGAGAGCTCGTGCGCGAAATCACGAGGTCAGTATTTTTCGGCATACATATATCTGTCAGTAGGAGGTTTTCTCGGGATCGTACGGAAATCATTTCCTAGAGGCGAGTTCCACGTCGGATATTACCTTTCTTGGTGACTACGAGAGTAATTGTCTCCGGCTCTCTCGTATTCATCGGAGCTCTCGCGGAGACGAAGTCACCACTCATCAGATCGCTAATTCCACTCGATGAGAGTTATAAGTTCGCTTGCCCGGAGGCTGTGTGGGAGGTGCGCCTGTTCACTCAGTGTCTCGTCGCCCATCACCCTCAGCATTGCTCCACAGCCGTAGCCTTCCGCCTCATCATCGAATTCAATCGAGTGGAAGCATTCCAAGGAAGTCTGTTCCTCGAATTCCTGATAGCTTTCAGATGTTCTTCCCTCGTCGGATTGACAAAAGAAACGGGGGATGAAAAATTACCATGCGGCTGTCTGCTTGCGCGGAAAATCCTATTTCACATCGTTACGGATCTGCGTCCGACAACGTTGACGAGGGAGAGGATCGTGATAATTGGCATGAGTTTTTAGGCTTGTGGTATGTTGCGTATGCTCATTCCAGTGTGGCTTGCTTTTTCTGCGATGCCATCAGGCTGTGTCGTTCCTGGAACAGCATACAGCGCGCGCTCGACTAGCATCGAAAGACGTTGACTCAAAGACGCGACCCACTACACTGCGAAAACTGGAGCGATCTTGACGCCGATCTGAATACGTCTTCCTGGGAACGGCTCGGAGAGAAATTCCCCGTGATCCGGAGAGAGCTGTCAAAGCAGAAGAAATCTCTCATCTGATCCCGGAATCTCTCTTGGATGCGAATCTCTCGCTCCGTTCTAGAACTCATATTTACTCAGTTCGCGGCAAGATCACCACATCAGTTGAGGAAGCGTATTCTCCCCTTGCTCGCCACAGAAACCAACGCTCACAATCGCGCAGTTTCTACGGGGAGCCAGAACCAGTATCAGCAGGAAAAACACTAGAGCATAAGGAGTCATGTGTCCTGAGAGGAGGAGGGCTCAACTTCACCGCGATACGGCGTAACATCTTTGAAACTGGAAGATTCGGAAGGATAGAGATGCGTAAACCAAAACAACACGGTCTCCACTAAGGATTTCCACGGGGGAACGGAGCAACCTCCAACTAGATGATCGAAAGTCATCCTGGAAAATCTCATGGATGTTCATAGCAAGCCGGATTCGGTTGCAGGCTCCCGAGCACCAGTCAGCTGTCAAACGTGTCAAACTCCAAGAGGCAGCTCATTGGGTTGGTTGGCTGTTTTGAGGCGACCCTGTTGAGGATGCTCCGGGCGAGTCGCAGGGAAGCATATTGAGGGAAGTCCAAGGTAGAGCCTCTAAATCGACTCGGTCGCCAGCGATCAGCTCTGCGTGAGTCGGGTCCATCA